GAAACATTATTGCATTTGAAAGAAAAAGTAGAATTCCTTTGCACAAGTCATACCCACAGGATCCCTCGAAAAAAGTCCAGAACAAAAGAACAAAGCAATAGTACAAGGTGTTATTAAACATATCCATTAGTACTACAGAACTTATAACGTGAGTATTTTTTTTCTTCATTCCTTTTATAAAGCTACTAGACAACTATTAGCAAATAAAAATACATTAAATCATACCATTTATTGAAAGATAAAAATGAATAGCTACCCAATCTATTAAATAAAAAGGCAGACTCAGAGAATAACGTGAGGCAAAAATTGACTGAGGAAAATAATACTAAAGAGAATATCATAGGAAACATGCATGGAAAACAACTTGCTTAAAAATAAAACCTGGATCAATGTGGCAGTTTTTTGTCTTTTGATAGATGGGTTCCACGTATGAGCTAAAAAGCCATGGATGCATGACATGACAGTTATAACATCAAAACAAAAAATTCCTGAATTGACTATGTTGCAGCCATCATCATACAATTTCTTGAATTATCACTGCTGCTGCTTTTCATTTGAGAATTGAGCAAACTCCACGATCCGAGGAACCTAAAGAAAAAGGTAATTATAAATTAATCACCTAACCAAATGATTACCAATGGTTTCGGCAAAGTAGTAAGCATGTAGCATGAGTGACACAAATGTATGAATTCGATTTAGAATGACAAAAAGATACAAGATAAGCAAAAATATATAATTTTTTTTTATCCATATTTTGCCAACCTAGACAAGACGACCTACAATAAGAATATAGCTCCTCCCATAGCCACTTACAATTAGGAACAAAAGACCCATTGAGTTCTATGCGATGATTTATTTAAGTTTAAGATAGTGTGGATATAGCTCAATATGATCTTTTGCATGAGAATGAACTGCAGCAGATGAATTTAGCTCTATTTTTATTGGTGGCAATATCTTACCTTCACTGACTTTGTCTGAGAAGGCTAAATTAGGCTATATTTAAGTAAAAAGGGATATAATTTTAGATATTTATGAATATATTGTTTAAAATGGATATATAATTGTATTAGTATAAAAATGTATATTTGATGCTTATAAAACTAAGGATAAAATTTACAACTAAAAAAAGCAACACAACAATTATAATAGAGTGGAGAGACAACTAATAATGACAAACTCAATTAATCACAAAGAAGCACAAGCAGTGAAAACTGGTAAAATAAGTGACAGAAAACTTGGTATACCTTCATGACAATAAAATGCAAGGTGATCACATAACAAAGTCCCTATGGTCAACGATGGCAAAAGGCTTGTAGAACAAATGTATCTTGTTTGATTATGAGAAAATCTCTTCGGATAAGAAATATAATCACATGACACTAGATAGTCTTTGCTGAATTATAGTTGAAGCATGCCACCCTCTTTACTGGAATGAATATATATTTTCAAGGTCTTAGGTTAAATAGTGAAGAACTGTATTCTTACATGTTGTTAAAGACTAACATTGGCATTTTTTACCTTCATGTGAAAATATTCACATGTATCCAAACATTTCCACAGCTGCACTCCTTATTGCCAATAATAGTTTAAGGTAACCAAAATTGGTCCATGCTGTATATGTTGAACCAATTGTTATTTCACATATAATCTATCTTTACATAAATTGTACATTTCATGTCAACATCATGTTTGCAACACAATGGAATTATTCATGTCACATTGTAATACTTATATATATATATATATATATATATATATATATATAAAGTTAGTATAGAAGATATAAAAAACTAAAGTAGCACATACAAGAGTCTATCTGCTTAGAAAATTAAGTAAAATAACAAACACATGGTTAATAACACCTACTACATCCATTACTAAATAATGAAAAGAGAGTAACTTTACTATGTATCCCAACATTCAGAAAATTCAAATGCATCATCTACTGATCATGTATTCATGCAATAAATTTATAGACATCTTGTTGATATAAATGACTAAAAATGGTTTAGTTTCTCAATTGTTGTCTCATTGACAGGTCACTAAAGTCGTTACTACTATTTATTCCTATTTTATTCCCGATACTTAAGTTGAGCATGTATAGAATCAATACTCAAGACATGAGTAGGAAATAGAAGGTGATTACATATATAAGAGACTTAGAAAAACATACTTGGAAATTTTTAAGTTTTCACCTTTGCAAAATTTTCTCTAGCAATGTCTTTCCATTGTAGTTGCAAGACCAAAAAAGAAAGACAAAACCAGACTTCAATGGTGATGAATGAAAAAAAGGAAAGTTGAACTATAAAAGAGTGAAAAAAATGCAAGATAAACATTACAAATATTTTTATATTTCTTCAAAAACTTCTTTGAATTTTATAAAAAAATAATTTTTTCATGTAATGCAATGAGTCCATATGGTTAGGAAAGAATCAAATATCAGTACAAGCTCCAAAAAGTTGAGTCATCATAGATAGTTTGACTAAATAGGATGATTCCTATATCTATTATTATAAAAATTTAATGCAGGAATGGATGATTAGGAAATCAATCATAGTGAATTGAAGAATACCAAATCTCTAACTCAAATAATACAAGTTTCAATTGAGTCCATTATGTATTATAACACATTAATCCAAGCCAATTAGCTAATATGTAATCAGGTATATACACCTCAAAGATGGACAACGAAGGATAGTATGCTGACATAATAGCTTCTACCTTATTTATTTCATATAAGGGTAGAACCATATTTTTATAAAGAAACAATCACATCACATAAGTCTTCTAAATAGTAGTTGAAAATGCAAGAGAAGATTTTGACCTCTTTTGATGAACAATATATGTAAGCTACTAAAATTATCATTTGGTTAAAAGATTATGGGGTGTAAGTGAGTCTTTATGATGTAAGAACAAATTCTTCTGGAGAAGATACTATCTTCAAGGCACAATTGATGGTGAATGATTTCACACAGTAGGAAAGTATTGATTTCAATGAGGTATTGTCTCTTATTGTGAGATGCAATTTTATTCTTATATTACTTAGCACTGTTTTTTTATTTTATTGAAAGTTAGAGCAATTGGATATTAAGATAGATTTCTTACATAGTGAGCTAGAGGAGGAGTTTTTTATCTTGCTCTATTTTGAGGGTTTTGTAGTTTCTAAAAAGAAATATCATGTATGCACATTGAAGAAGCCTTTGTATGTTTTGAAGCAATCTTTGAGGTAGTCATAAAAGAACTTTGATATGTTTATGTTGAGTCATAAATAAGTTATAAGTAATTATGAAAACTATGTATATCAAAAGAACTTTCTAGATTATTCATTTATTCAGTTCTTGTTGTATGTAGATAATAAATATAAAATTAATTAATTAAAGTATTTATTATGTATTAAATCCAAAATTAAAATTATTAAATTAGTAAAAAGTAATTTGATATTAGAAATTTATAGAGATCATTGCACTAGAAGGTTGTACTTGTATCAAAAATAATACAAGGAGAAGGTGCAAAGGTGGTTCGACATAAAAGATTGTATGGTGTAAACACTCCATTAGTAACTTATTTTCAAAGTTTTTACTAAAGATTTATTAAAGATAAAGAAGATGGATACAAAGTTGATGAGTAAAGTTTTTTATGTGAGTATCATTGGTAGCATTATGTATTTTATGGTATACATTCGGCCTTGATATTTTCATGATACTATCGTAGTTAATAGGTATATCAAAAGTCTAGAGGTCTATCTTAAAAGTGCTTCAGATGTGAACATAGTAATATAGATAAGAGGAAATCTTTGAGAAGTTATGCCTTTAATTTTTTGTATTATGCTATCAGTTGGAAGATTTCTTTTGCATTATATTGTTGCTTTGTCGATGACAACATAGAATACATAATAGTGGCCGAGGGAGTGAAAGAAGCCTTGTGATTGAGAGGTTTGATTGACAATCTAGGTCATGTAAATGACTCTAGTGCATTGTGATAGGCATACTATATCATAAATCTTATTAAAATCAGATGTATTATGAGAAGACTAAACATATTATTTTCATGTATCACTTTATTCATGATGTCATTTTTTAAGGTATAATTTATATGAATTTTTTTTCATACAATAAGGAACAAAGCAGATATGGTGACAAAGCTTATTCCTTCAATGAAGGTCAAGTATTGCTTAACCATGGTTGGATTGCAAAACATGTGAGGATTGCCCTGATCAGGTCATTGTCAATTCAAGCGTTTGTGGTGGAGCCTGGCGCTAGATGCAGCTTAGGAAAATGAGTCAAGAGGAGACTTTGTCAAGTGTGGCTCACCACTTACACCAAACAGCACAAGGAGAGCAGATGGGCACCATGCATTTTCTCTTCTTTGTGGGCCATCTAAAAGGGTCCTTTTATGTGCTTATAAAAGGAGGCCTTTCTCCCTCTTGTAGCAAAGTAAGAGTGAACAAAAAAAGGACAGAGATAGGAAGTGCAAGAGAAGGTGGGTGCAGGAGTTCTAGAATGAGAAGTTGCCAGTTGTTTTACTGGTGAATGCCATTGGTCCTGTTGGCAGAGGGAGAGATCTATCTTCTCTGTATGTGGAGGAGGAGAGCTGTTCCTCTATGTGAGGGGATTTGAGTTTGTATAATTCTCTCCGCATATAGTGAGGCCAACGATACCATTACCTACCGATGTAGGAGGCCAACCTCCAAATCACATTTTTTTTTTCAGTGCTTTTACTATGGGTTGATTATTCTTCCGTATCTTTACTTCATGTCATGCAAATCAAGGAGGCAACATTCTACTTCTCGGCGTGATCATATATCATTCGAGAAATATTTTTATTGTATTTTCAATGATAACGAGACAAGAAAACGGACTGAGACAGCCGAAGGTTGACTTGGCTCGTGATGCGGTTGATGTGATCTGGCAGTGGCCCTTGATAAAAGGTAGTTAGGAGTTCAAGCTCGCACCTGCCGTTTCACGACGGGGACAGGATTTCGTGAGGTTCACATCGGGCATCTAAGATCCTGGTGGCAGTCGGTATGTAGGGACGGCGAGCAGGTTTTTTGCTCTGCTCAACCTTATCCCGAATCTCTCCGACATGTCCAAGTCTCCGGGAAGCGCCCAGTCGAAGCAGTGCACCAGCTGGGCCACGACGATCCGCACTGTCGTCAGCCCCATCTGCATGCCGGGGCACCTCCGGTTTCCAGCTCCAAAGGCGAGGAAGTCAGACTCGAGGCCATCACGATCCTCAGCCCCTCTGATGCCCCCCTCGAACCTCTCCGGGTAGAAGGCCTCCGGGTCGTCCCATTGGCTTGGATCCCTTCCCACTGCCCAGAGGTTCACAAGCACCTGGCTTCCCTTCTTAAGCTGGAAGCCGCCGGCGACACAGTCCACCCTAGCCTCCCTGGGGATTAGGGGGATGGCCGGGTGCAGCCGCATGCTTTCCTTGATCACCATTTCCAGGTAGGGCAGCTTGGGTAGGTCTTCCTCCTCAACCACCCTATCCATGCCGACGGCCTCCTCCAGCTCATGCTGCAGCTTCCTCATCACCCGGGGGTGCCTCAGGAGCTCCGACATCGTCCACTCCACAGTGGTTGCCGACGTGTCCGATCCCCCAGTGATCATGTCCTAATAGGATAGACAAACGTTGCGAGATGACAATAATACTTAAATAATATAATCTTATCCATTTTGTTGCCGTTGTCTCACCATGAGGATGGCCTTGAGGTTAACCCGATCATACTGTGTTCCCGTCGAAGAGAGGATCGAGGCGACGACACAGTCCTCAAGCTTCGTCCCTTCGTTCAGACTCCGGCAGTGCTTGTGGATGACCGTCTCGAAGAGGCTGTCGTAGGCCCTTCTGACGGCCTTCATTCGTCGCCGGTGTCCATTCAAGTCGAGGAATCCGATGAAGGGGATGTAGTCGTTGATGTTGAATACCCCGGTCAACTGGGTAGCTTCTTTGAGCGTCTTCTCTATTGCAGATGCGTTGCCATATACCTTGCCAAACAAAGTACGGCAGACTATGGCCAAGATCGTCGCAGTTACGGCTTCGCTGAGATCCACCGCTTTGCAGTCCCCATCGGCAGCCTTCTTCAGGGAGTACAGCAGCCGGTGAATCTCCTCATTCCTCACGCCTCGTAGGGCGTCGATGCTGCGGGTGGAGAGCATATGATCCAGGCAGAGATTCCGGGATTCGCGCCAGTTAGACCCGCATTCGGAGGAGAGGACTCCCTTCCGCCCATAGGTGAGGTAATTGCTGACGTCGCCCGCGGGTCTGCTCATGAAGGCGGGTTCCCTGAGGAACTTCTGCGCAGAAACGAAGGACGATACTACCACCGCTTGGACGAGGCCGAGTCTGATGCCCATGACGGGCCCGTACGCCTCCGCCAACTTCCGGAGGGCCCGGTGGGGCAAGGCTCCCAAAATGCGGAGATTTCCTAGGATAGGAAGACCGGGAGGATTAGGCGGCAGCCTTAAGCTTATTCCATTGCCGATCCGAGTCGTCCTCTTTAACAATGGGAGAGCGAAGAAACGTGCCGCCGCAGCGGATGCTGCCACCACTACGGCTACCAGAAGGCTATCTGGGCTCATCCACGAGTACATCGCCATACTGGCTCCTCTGAAACTATGGCTGCTTATCTGCACGTATATTTATTGTGTGCGTGTGTTTGAGAGAGAGAGAGAGAGAGAAACGTGCCGCCGCCGCCGCTGCCACCACTACGACTACGAGAACTGGGAGCATCCACGAGTACACTGGCATGCTTGCTCTGAAATTATGAGAGAGAGAGAGAGAGAGAGAGAGAGACGTGTCATCGTACCTTGATAGGCAGGCATGTCTGTCCGAGTTAGTGTTCGCTAGGAGACGGAGGAAACGTGCCGCCGCCGCGGTTGCTCCGGCTACCACGAGTACACCGGCATGCATAGTCCGAATATTTCTTTATTTATTACGAGAGATAGACTGAGAGCGATGTCGCCATGGCCTTGCCGGAGTCGGGTTCATACGTTGAAAGTCAATAGTCGCTCGGAGACAGATGTGGCATCGTCACCTTGCAAGGCCGGCACTACGTCTTACGGAGTTATTGCTCGCTAGGAGAGAGAAACTGCCGTGACGTAGCCGGCTGCACTTCACTTACAAATAAATCGAGTCAAACATGGAGGACAAGTTCGGAACAGAATATCGTTTTCATTCCTCCATTACCTATCTACGTTCCTTAAATTAGACCAGTAGAGGTTCGCCTCGCCTTTCCGTGTCATCCTCGAGCTCTCTAGTTGTTGAGTCTAGTTTAAGCTGTCCAGTTGAGTATGGTACCAATACTATTTCGATGAGTTACCAAGCCAACTGCCACATCAACATTTAATCACTACGAGAAAAACGCTTAAGATAAAACAGCCAAGATATTCATTCGATTGACTTCCACTATTTCAGTCTTCGGACAATAAAACAGGGTGGGTTAAGGAAAATATAACCCAAACCGAAAACACACATAGATACGAAAGGATTTGGATGCGTGAGTGGTGGAAGCATTTGGATGGAAGACCTTGCAATCCGGGAAAATGATCGGGACACCAGAAAGAAGAAGATCCTACTCTTCTGAGCACTGCTCATTTCGTGATTGAAAATGATCGGGGCACCAATGGTGGAAGCATTTCAATACGGGAAAATGTTCGGGGCACCAGAAAGAAGAAGATCCTACCCATCTGAACACGACTCATTTCGTGATTGAAGCATCATTCTCTTAATTAACTACTGGGAGATAAAATCAATTCGCCTCCCTCTTAGTTCTTTATGTTGTCAACTTGAGACTAGCATGGTTATCATATATTTATGTGTATGTATGCATAGTATCTTCTTTTATTCATGTCTAAACCTTTAAAAAAAGGCTATCTGAAGATTGACTTACATGATGTAAAAAACCCTTGAAATTAAAGGTTTCAGAATAAATCAAAAATCAAAAATCAAAAATCAAAAGCATAAAAAATAGTGAGTTAGAAATATAGAACTTTTTTGTAATATCTATCATCTGACGCAACATCATCTAAATACAAGATGTGACAGTCCACATATGGTGTTTCATAGGTGACTTAATAATATCCCAATTGATTAGAATGGTTGCTTTAGAACGTGTTTACCATTAAAAAGTCTCTCTCATTTCATACATCTATCTATCATGCGATATAACATCACATAGATACTAGATGTGACAGACTACATGTGGTTTGTCATAGGTCACATAATAATGTATGAAAAGAGAGAGACTTTTTACTAGTAAACATGATCTAAAGCAACTATTCTATTAAATTGGGAAGTTATTGTTTTTTTTAAAATAGATAATATGGATCTAGGCATTTTTCCAACAACTTTAAAAAATCTCTTTTTCATGGACATTTTCTGCACCTCAATAGTCACTACTACATAAGAAATCTCCAAGACACTTAATAGCTTCAATAATGAAGCACTTCATTTCAGTAAAAACTATTATTCATCCTATTGATCGTCCCATTTCCTATGATTACTTTTTAATGATATTTACGTCATTATCAATCTAACCATTCTCAAGTCCTCAAGCATCATCTACATTTGCACTACTTTTCATCATTTAATATTTATTTCATGGTGTTTGTGAAAACAAGTGTTGTTCTTTAGAGCTCTATTGCTTGAAAGATAAGATGTATAATGCAATTCTACTTCTCACCTGAGGAAATTTCTGCAGATTTAGTCCATGGTGAATATATTTTTTCATCCATTTATGTTCACCCTCTCTCTCTCTCACGTGGGATGTAGGGCTTTTGAGTTCAAAAAACTGATGGCTCTTGTCCTCTCATTACTATGAGGGGAACTGAAGTTTAATGGGAAGGAGGTGGAGTCAAGTTTTAGACTATTGTCACAGTCACGGAAAAGAGGATAAGGAAAGACGCATATTTCACTCCCACTACACATTGGTACAAACTCTTAGATAAAATAGATTTCTACTCACAGAAAACCTAAAAACTAAGATTTTATATAAACTATAATGGCAATTTTACCTTTAAGTACATTTCACTTAGTTTGGTGCACGTTTTCTTCTATATTAACTTATGATTAATTGACAACGTAATTTTATCATTATATGGTTACTATGTTACCCTTCTACATAGTTTGTCATTATCAAAACTATTAAGCATCCCAAAGCCAACATGTTTTTGATAAAAAAAAAATCCCACATAAAATGCGATGGTATTATATATGCTTGATGTGACATTTTATCTATGAAACATGTTGGGCCACTGATGTAGTACCAGATGAGAGTTAAAACCATGGTTGCTGAGAAGCTACTGAAAGATTGATGTGACTAAGTAATCTGATTGTGATGATAATTTCTTTGTTAAGAAATTTTGATTGATTTCATTAGGACAACATTTGCTCTTCTGAGCTACCACCTCGATCAGGAAGAATGCATGAAGAATAAATAATTTTATCTAAATACTAATGGTGGTAAACGCCAGGCCTACATAGATAGGCGGGTAATTTCCTCCTGACACCTCAGCTGCCTCACCGTCCCGCACCGAAGCCTTGACCTCACTGATGGGCATAAGCGGCCCGGAGCCTCGACAAAATAGACTGTCGTAGTATGTTCCGTGACAAGGCACAGCCACTTGAGACATTCAACGATCCTGGAAAGTGTGCGAATTAAATCTACATGACGATATCTACAGAGGCATCCGAATTTCCTCCTCAGACCACGGCCACTTTACCTGTACGCCACGAAGCCTTGGGCCCACTGACAGGCATCGGCGACCCGGAGTCTCGACAAATATTGGATCTCATAATATGTTCCGTGACAGAAACACAGCCACAGGAGGAATTCAAACGTCCATGGAAAGTGTGCGAATTAAATCTACATGGTGATATCTGCAGATGCGCCATAATTTCCTCCTGAGACCACAGCCGCCTTACCGGCACACACCGAAGCCTTGGGCCCACTGATAGGCATCGGCGACCCGGAGTCTCGACAAATATCGGTTGTCATAATATGTTCCGTGACAGAAACACAGCCACAGGAGGAATTCAAACTTTCACGGTAAGTGTGTCAATTTAATCTACATGATGATATCTACAGAGGCGCCATAATTTCCTCCTTAGACTACGCTCGCCTTAACGGCACGCACCGAAGCCGTGGGCCCACTGATAGGCATCGGCGACCCGGAATATCGACAGATCGCGGCTGTCATAATATGCTCCGTGACAGAAACACAGCCAAAAAAGGAATTCAAACGTTCATGGTGAGTGTGCTAATTAATCTTCATGGTGATATCGTCAGAGGCGCCATGAGATCCTCCTGAGACCACACCCGCATTACCGGCACGTACCGAAGCCTTGGGCCCACTGATAGGCATCGGCGACCCGGAGTCTCGAGAAATATCGGCTGTCGTAATATGTTCCGTGACAGAAACACAGCCACAGGAGACATTCAGACGTTCGTGGAAAGTGTGAGAATTAAATATACATGACGCTATCTACACAGGGAGTAAATGCCTGCCGAAGACTCAAATGGAGGGATCTACTCACACATGTAGCTAAGCTAGAGTGAAGAGGGAAAGGGGGGGAAGGGGGGGGAGGAGGGTGGGGGAGGGGAGAGGGAGAGAGAGTGATGCAGGACGGGTTGACGAAAGACTAAACTAACGTAGACCAACAGCCTAGACGTGATTCTCACATTAGATCTACAGAATCTAAGAGGGATGACTAGGGTAGGATTGAGTGTTCTTGAAGGATTTGAAAGGAACTGGATCAACATGATTAAGGAATCATGAGGGCACTCCACGGGAAATAGATTGATAGTACAAACCAAGTCGATCGTCTCTATATTCTCACCACTAGCTATAGATGAAAGAAAGCCGATCTAGGATCACTCAACTACAGTGTTACAAGATAATACACTAAAATAATAAAGAGCTCAAATATGGAAAGAGAGTTTACAGATAACCTTATTGTCAGAATAGGTGACTGACTCTTGGAAGAACACAGGTTGAAGTTGAGCCATGCTTGTGGTTAGCTGACTTGACATTGATTGTTGCCCAAGGATTTTACCATTGATCGAAGGGTTGATTGTTGACCCTCTATCATTGACTATTGACTGAGCTGACCTGGTTGTTAGGTGGGCGGGCTTGAATCAGGCGAAGTGGACTGACATGGATTAGGCTGTCCAAAGTGGTTCAGACCAATGAGATGGCCTGGTGCGACTCAAGCGGTCTGAGATGGTTTGAACCAAAGTGGTACGTTTACTTAGACTAAGTGGTCAAGCCGATTTGGGTTGGGCAGAGGTGGGTTGGTAGAACCGGTCGGATCTGGAATCCAAACCGATAGGGATTAATCCAACTCAGCAGGCTAGAAATTGAGAGCACCTAAAATGGGTTGAGCGAAAAGTTGGAAAACGGGGGCAGACGGGTGAAACAGCAGGTCAGGTAGGTGGTGAAAGTAAGGTCGGCAGACGCAGCGGCAGATGGCGGAGGCGAATGGCGACGGTGTTGGGAGACGGTGGCAGCGGTAACGAATCATGGCGAAAGAGGGATGAAAGGTAGGGGTGGGTGGTGGTCGTTGGAACCGAATGAATATAGGAAGGCGGTGGGATTAGGCAACAGAAGATGATGGACAGTGGCAACAGGCAGCGGCAGCAGTGGAGGGTTGGCTGGCGATGGACGACGAAGGGCGAAAGTCGAAAGCCGAAAGCCGAGTGATGTTGAAAAGGGAACAGTTTGAAGATGGGCGCTGACGGTGACTAATGGTGGCTAGATAATGGCCCTAATGGCCTCTCCATCACGAAGGGAAGAAAGTTGACCCTCATGGTCTCACCCTCATGCAGCTAAACAGGAAATCCCTAAAAAATGATCTCTAATCTTGTTCTAGGGCTACATTAACATTTTAATAGTGTTTTGAAATCAAAATAGACCAATGAAAGATAAAAAATAAAGAAAATCGCTCCTAAATGGGCCTAGGCCAATCTTGACGATGTGAAGGTATGAGCCTACTTTTTCAGTTTCTATTAATTCTCCCATTGTGGGGAGAATTCGACAATGTTGAGTTTAGTGTGGGATTTAAATACCAATGCCACTTCC